ATTCCTGTCAAGCCACTTCTCTCACCTGGAAGCAAAGGTTTACAATGAGATTATAAAGGTATTGTTAGCATTAAATCCATATTGACTGTGTCCAAAACTTGCATAGCAGTGACATTTTGGTGTATATATTTCTATTTGATAACATATATATTTAAGGCATTTGTCTTAAAGTAATTGACAACTGAACGTAAAGGCAAATAGTTCTATATTTAAAAGAGTGCCTTCGATCATGTGCAGGATTCATCTGACTGCAAAATTAATCATATAGAGATTGTCACTAATGTACAGTATGTTACCTTTTGTATTTTTATAACAGATTAGCAGGTGGTGGTCTGGAAAATGTTATGGTGGACAGACAGAGAAGGAAAAATTACTGTGAATCTTTGACTCGTCTAACTCTCCGACCCTAACCTGGCAACTAAACAAAAACCCTTTTGCTAGTTTGCTACTACATCATTATTGAAGTCAGTTCTAAATTAATTTCTATGGGCCCTGTATGTTACATAATAACAAGAACAAACTATCAATGACCCAATCATGAAGTGATCCAACAGGGACATTGCTGTTACTCCAGATGGCCAGTCTACTTCTGGTTATGGTGCCAAAAAGTCGGTACAGTAAGGCCAGGGGTGCTTCTGCCATGATTTCTCTGGCTGGAGATGAGGAGGGTGCTGGGCAGCCAGTGATGTACACCAGCCTCCAAGCTATTGCTGAGGAATTTCAGAGGCACTAGGATATGTATTTTCATTTTGTATACTATCTCTGCTTTTAATGTCTTCTTGTAATCCCTTTTCGATCCCCCCCAAACCCTCCCCTCTCCATTTTCTCTACAGCACTTCTATACTTACCTGAAGTATTTAACCCTCCTTGTATCAATCAGTTTTTCATCACCCTCCCTCAGAACTTTTTCCTGTTTTGTCTGACTCCTCTGAGCATACTCTAACTCTGTCAGGGACCCAAATCATCAGTGATCTCTTTATGAAAGTCCAAGTCATACTAAATGACCCCCTACCCCCTCGAAATTCACTTCTATAGATTAAAAGTCAATTTCCTGTGTGCTACATTTAAAGAGGCATGAGCAGATGGTCCTGCTCATTGCTTTTCCAGCTGACTTTATGAAATCAGTGTCAGTGTTCACTCATTGTAATTAAAGATGGATTGTGTGATAAGACAGAGATACTCTTCTAACTGTACACTGCACGTTAAACCATTTATCAAAAGATGAATGCAGACACTACACTGTGTTTTAAATACAGCATTTGTCCCTTACATTTTAATCATGCATTTTTTATCATAATTGATTTTTTTTAAATCATGAAAATTTTTTTACAATAACATTCCACAGAATACAACATGTGCATCAGACTGAATGTCTCTTGGTTTGGCTTTCTTGTTAGCGGCATCTCTGTGCAGTAGCACTGGACAAGAGATAGACTCTGGCTGATGCTACTGGAAGGATGAGGGACTCTGGCTGTGTGAAAATGGCCTGCAAGGACTGGAATGCTTGCCACAGGTCAGGAGTGCTGCTTTCTGTTCCTTTGTGCACACAAAAGCAGTCTGCAGTCTGCAGAAGAGGTGTGGAATGCAAACTTCATGAGAA